GGTGGGCCTGGCTCTCACTGCCCCGCCACCCCCAGAGGCCTGCCCGACAGCCCCGGCAACCTGCTCCGCTTCATCCAGGAGGTGCATGCACACTACCTGCACCAGCGGCCCCTGCACACGCCCATCGTCGTGCACTGCAGGTAGGGCGGCTGCTGCCCAGGGTCCTCCCTCCTGGGCTTCGGCCCGGCCTCACTGCCCCCTCTCTCTCAGCTCTGGTGTGGGCCGCACGGGGGCCTTCGCGCTGCTTTACGCGGCTGTACAGGAGGTGGAGGCTGGGAACGGCCTCCCCCAGCTGCCCCAGCTGGTGCGGCGCATGCGGCAGCAGAGGAAGCACATGCTGCAGGAGAAGGTGAGCGCTGTGCCCTGGGGCGGGTGGGGCGGATGGGCCTGGGGCCTGGCCCCGGCCCCGCTGACCCGGCTTCCCCTGCTTCCCCCACTGTAGCTGCACCTCAGGTTCTGTCACGAGGCAGTGGTGCGGCACGTGGAGCAGGTGCTACAGCGCCATGGTGTGCCCGCCCCCTGCAAGGCCGCGGCAGCTGCAGGCACCAACCAGAAGGTAAGGGGCTTCCCCAGTTCCGGGTGGGCCTCAGCCTTGGGACACCTGTGCTCACCCGCCTCTCCTCAGAGCCAGCTGCCTCCAGACTCCCAGGACCTGGTCCTCGGTGGGGATGTACCCATCAGCTCCATCCAGGCCACCATCGCCAAGCTCAGCATCAGGCCTGCTGGAGGCCTGGATTCCCCGGCTGCGCTGCAGCCAAGCGCCACAGAGACCCCAGGCCCGCTGCCTGCCAGCCTCCCCGAGCCTGTGCCTGCCCCGTCTTCCCCACCACCCCTTGCCTCGCCCCTGCCCGATGCCCCCCAGCCAGAGGAGCAGCAGGCGGTGCTTGAAGCCCCCAGCACAGCGCCCCCGTCCTCCTCCCTGGAGCTGCTGGCCTCCCTGACCCCTGAGGCCTTCTCCCTGGACAGCTCCCTGCGCGGGAAGCAGCGTATGAGCAAGCAGAGCTTCCTGCAGGCCCACAATGGGCAGGGCCTGCGCGCTGCCCAGGCCCTGGACGACCCCCTCAGCCTTCTGGATCCACTCTGGACCCTTAATAAGACCTAAGCCTTTCTGCCAGTCCTCACACTAAAACTACGTTGTCTCCTTCGCCCTGCTCCTGCAGCCGCAGACCCACCTAGCTCAGGCTGACCGAGGGTGGACACACTGTGGCCTCCTATCAGGTGGGACCTGATGTTTTTCAGCTCTTTGCTATTGAAATAAACCAACCTATTCTGTGGCCAGTGTCTGCCCAGTGCTGCTGCCTCAGCCCAGGAACACAGCACGAACTGATGACAGGCGGCCCCATTGGCTTGCATACCTGACTCCTGTTGCTGCCCTGTCAACAGCTTTCTTGAGCAGGGAGTGACACAAGCAACTCCAGTCCTGGGCACGTACCATTTTGTTTTAAAGTTTAATATGACAGTCCAGGAGCAGGACAATTCAAAGGCAACTGCCAGGAGCTGCTCCGCTCCTGCCCAGCTGTTGTGGGTCCAGGGCGATGCTGCCCACCCTCAGTCCAGCTTCTCCAGCACAGAGGGCACATAAACCAGGCTGAGCTCGCTGCCGAAGTTGCACACAATAGCAGCATTGTCCAGCACCAGGATCTGGCGGGCAGGCTGGGCCTCACTGTTCTTCCCCAAATACACAGTCTGCAACAGGTCCCCGTAGTTCAGGTCCCAAAAGGAGACGCAGCCCTGGCCACCAGTCACCAGCAGGTTGTCAGAGATGACGCCCAAGCTTGCACCACAGCCCAGATCCTGGAAGGCAAGGCCAGGGTACTCAGGGTCCAGAGTCCTGGCCCCAGGCCCCTTGCCGGCTCACCTGCCTACCTGCTGAATGGAGTAGAGTTTGATGCCCGTGCTGCGGTCCCAGATGCTGATGAGATCATCTAGGCCGCTGCTGATGACACAGGAAGCAGTGCAGGTGAGGGACGTGACATCCCCACGGTGAGCAAACATGTGGCTGACCCGGCTGCCCGTCAGCACGTCCCACAGGCAGATGGCCCCATCCTGTCCTCCGCTGGCCAGCACCATGGTCTAGGGGAAGAGGCCAAGGGAGACTGGGTCACTGGTGAGGACCCTGCCTCAGCTCCCAGGAATCAAATCTAGGCCACCAGCCAGCTTGGCCTCCCTGCTGCCCGTTCCCACCTGGTCCACGTAGACGCTTGTGATGGCCCCTGAGTGGCCCTGCAGCGTGAAGAGGCAGCAGGAGTCCTCCAGACGGAACACCTGGAGTGGGACAGGTGGCTCTGGGCTTTCCCAAGGTACATGTGATGGTGCCGCCTGCCCTGGCTCTGCCACAGCCCGACACAGTACTCACCCTTAGGGTGTGGTCCTGGCTCCCAGTCACCAGGCGCCCAGCTGCGGCTTTCAGAGCCGTGATGGGTTTCTGGTGCGCACAGGGCACCGTGTGGGTGAGGCGGCAGACCACTGGGTCGCTGCCACTCAGTAGAGACGGGGGAGAGCTACCTCGCCCCGGGGTCCCTGGGAACAACAAGCCAGGTGAGGGATTGTGCCAGGCACCTGGTGGGCACCGCCTGCTGCCCAACCCAACCCTCACCTCGGAACTGCAGTGGGCTGAGGACCGTGTGCGTCTCCAGGGAGAAGAAATCCAGGGAGCCATTGAGCCGAGCAGCCACGACCCTGGAAAAGAGATGCAGGTGGCTCTCGGTAAGACTGGACAGGAGAGGGGCTATGGCCAAGGCGGGAATGCACAGGACGGCGAGAGCAGCCTTGCCAGACTCAGGGTCATCTGTAGAGTGAAGGTAACACTGCCCACGAAGGTCACGTGAGCACTGCGCGGTGCCCCAGGCCAGTGTCACAGCTGTACACTAAAGCACAAACGCAAGCAGCCGGGGCCACTGCTGGGAAGATGAGCAGGGCCGGGGCCCGTCTGCGAGCAGCCCACTCCCTTTGTTCCCCACGAAGCAGGGAATGTCCCCTGCCACAAAATCCTAGCGGCAGGCCGAGGCCGCCATGCACGTCCATCAGCTGCGCGGAGAATTGAGGGTGTGGCGAGAGGCCACGTCCCGGAAGCTGGCGCAGAGCGGGCAGCCAGGGAGTCCTGGCCATGCCACGGAAGCTGCCG